ATAGACTAATCACATGGACTGGGTTCAAGCAAGACAGCAGATTAAAATATGGGTAACAATCTATTCAAGTACTTAAGAGGTAGAGCTTGCATAGTGTTTTGAGTTCACACAACAAAATGAACTATAGACTAATCACATGGACTGGGTTCAAGCAAGACAGCAGATTAAAATATGGGTAACAATCTATTCAAGTACTTAAGAGGTAGAGCTTGCATTTTGAAACCACGATGTATAGTTCATTATAATTTGCAGAGGCCCCTGCCCATGCAGCCAGATAATTTAAATATGATTCCTGGCACATATGAGCCATTCAATATACTTTTACCTATCACACTGAACGGTAATGTAGTTTCTTTTATCTAGACTTAACAAGAATGAATTTTCCAAATGTGGCTTATTCCATATAATGTGGGTTAGCATGGCATGTGGGCCCATTCACTCTTTGGTTTGCTTATAATAATTTATAAAATAAACTATAATGGATTTACAAAACATGTGATTGCATAAATAATAATGTATAGCATGACACAACATTCTAAGCCAAATACTATAATCAAAACTATTATTAGGGTTGATAGTTAGGGCTATCAGATCTGTGCTGACAACTATTAGACAACAGCAGAGTTTGAATTTTCAGTTTCTTTTTGCTGCCATTCAAGTGGCTCTCTGGATATTTGTTGTCCAGATCTCATAGGCCTAATAGCAGTTTAGTCTTAGTGAACCAAGCTAGAGAAAAGCAACGAATAGATAGGATAGTTTTTTTCTGTATAAGACATTATAAGGTATTACCTGAAACAAAACCACAAATGATGCATTTTCACCATGAAGACAGTAGTTTATTTAGCATTATGTGCTTTTTTTTACCAATAATATAAATACTGAACATTGTTGTGTAACTTCATGCACATTATTTCAATTCTCTTTCCAACAATCCTAATATGGGTGAAATTAGATAACATACAGATAATGCATGTTGTTAAAAAAAACAAGGATTAAGTATCAGATTTTGGAGCTATTCTTCTATCCTATTAATAGCTTCAAAATCTGATGCTTAATCTTTGTTTTATATACAAATACAGGAGCTGTACTTCTTTCCTAACATGAGTTCATTCAAAGCCCACATATATAAAGCAGACACATGGGCAGAAAAAGAAGGAAAAAAGAAAAAAGAACAGTTCAAGTTGAGTAACTGCAAATGTTGCATGAGAGTAGAAAATAAACAATTCTGCATTTCTCTTTCCGCACCCCCAACATCCTACTGCTATTATTTTGCTACTTAACTTTGGAAAAAAGCATCAGAAACTAAGAATAGTTTCTTTATAAGCTAGTTGGATATATCACAGAGGTGGGCACAATGTGCATTTCTTCAAAAGTTGGCAAGTAAGTATGGCAATAGTGAGGAATACTGAAAAAATGTAGCACAGCCACATCTAGAAAACCACAAACTATGCTCTCAAGATATACTTGTCCATTGTGAATTTAATTGTGATTTAATAAATTAACCAATTTTCTGGATATGAATAACACATTTATTAACCACACAGACTGAAAACATATGTCAATCTAAATATTGCTGGCTGTTTGTTATTCAAACTGCAAATATAAGAACAGTATTTTGCAAATCAGGATTATAAACCTAACCAATTTTGGATTATTCAACGAAACACAGCTTAGTATGATCTATGCACACAGCTCTGGAATTATAATGATGTACCCCTGCACTGCCAGATTTACAACTCTGTATCTGGCAAACCCTCCCTTAGATGAAACATTCCTTTTTTCACACACAGCTGAGAATGCTACTTCTGAGGTAGCATCTGATATAACTGTCACCTTAACAGAAGAAACCCATTTCATTCAGATTTATTTTATTTCACCCACTATTTAAATCATGCAATAAATCAACTAAAGTTTCATTAATCTAGTAAGAGCCCCAATGCTAATGAATAATTTTGCATACCTATGCTTAAGACAGTTAATCTAATTGCCTGGCTTCCCATTACAACACTGAACCATATACTAACAAGACAGGCTGAGTTCCTAAAAGACACTGGTGTATCCTGCAAAGGGACTTAAAGAATCCACTGGCAGGAAATTTGCAGAGAAGAACATTTTTAAAAAGTCTGACTCCAGATTCAGTTTATGGCACCAATTATCCATCAGATTTACAGAAAAGATGCAATATCCAACAGAGATCCCCTATGTATGTACGTACTCTACATCAAAATAAGTCTGAGGAAGGAAGATTTAAAAACAGCGGACACGAAGTTTCCACTTCCTTTCTTTTAAAAGGAGAATTCAGCAGGTAATGGGTAATGAGGATGTTGGGAGAAACTGAGTCCTATTTTGCAGGGCAGAAAAATACACTTCAGTTGGACTTGATTCCCCTAACAACAACCCGTGGAAGAGATGGTGGCGTGCTAAATGAAAAGCAACAAAAAGACAAAAAAAATTACATGACTAAGGGATCCAAAGAAGAGAGACCCCAAACGACGCCAGAAAGGCTCGGGAAGAAAGGAGGTAGGAAAACAGAAGTCGCTTTCGGAAGAGGAAGCGCGCCTCTTTATGTGAAGTAAAGCGAAACAACAGCCCCTCAGTCCCCCATCCCCTCATCAGCGCGGGCCTTTTGAGAAGCGAAGAAGCCGCTTTCCCTCGCCGGCCTCGACCCTTCCCAAAACGCCTCAGGGGAGGCGTCGCGCAGGAGAGGCATGAAGGGCGAGTCCGTTGCCCGGCGGAGATGAGGAGGATTTCGGTGTCGCTGCGGGACGCGCTTCTCAGCCGCGCAGCCTCAACTTCTGTGGAAGTTCGCCGGGAGCAGCCAGGTAGCCGCGCCACGAGCGGGGGATCCGCGCGGCGCGCGGGAGGGAGAGGGAAAGAGAAAGCGCTCACCCACGCCGTATTTCTCCTCGCGCTTGGTGGGTATCCAACGCGTCATAGCTGAGGGGAGCCCGAGCCCGCCAGCCGTCGGGAAAAGCCGGCGCAGAGAGGCGGGGACTGAGGCGGCGGCGACGCTGCTAAGCCGCCATTTTCCAGTCTCGGTCGCGGCCGCCCCGGGACAAGGAGAAGAAGAAAGTTTGCAGGCAACGGAGGGGTCATGTGGTGCAGGCGGAGCCAGGATTGGGAGGCCCTGCCTGGATAGGAAACCCAGGCAGTCGCTGTGGACGGGCGAGGAGGTTGTCTCGGCGCCGCCGCTAAGCATCCTTCCTCGGGCTGGCAGGGCCCGTTTCCCCTCCTCCGAAAAGTCGCTTCCCCCCCCCCCCCCCGAGGATGACGCTTCCCGGGCCCGAAACTGCCCCGCGCAGCTTCCCCGTTCCGCGCCTTTAGCCACAACTAGCCGCGCTATGCTTTCCCAGGGGATTCATCTAGGCAAGGGAACAGGAGAGGGGGTCTTAGGAGCGTAGGTGATATTTTACAGGGGTATTTGAAAGGTATGGAAAAGAGGAGAGGAAACGAATCCTGTAGATAGGAATATAGAGGTTTCCCTTGCTTTATGGTATATGTTCCCCCAAAACCCTCCGTGGAGAGTTCGTGTAATGCAAGAGTAGAAGAAAGGGGTTTGCTGGGCATTTAACCCAAATGCTTTGATATATTTGTCATAATATTTTACAGCCTTATTCTTAAGCGCTACATTACTCAGACATGTTTTCTTCCTTGTTTCGGGTTCCATGTACAGGGAAAGCACTTTCTTCATCTGGAATTCCAATGCAATGTTTATATTGCAAGACAAAGCTCTGAATTTTATTAGCTGTCTTCATTTTATTGCACGCAGTAGATTCATCCTGGTTAAAGCTCATTCTAGGACTGAGGATCTTTCACCAGCTTCCGCATGATATAGTACGTCTAAATTAGTTTCTAGTGTTAGGTACTGGTCCTTTTCATTTTGTGTAAGGGGGTTGGACAAGATGTTTATGGCTGTTTTGACTCTACAGTACAGCAATAGTAGTGGCTATTGCAGCTATGGAAGTAAGTGGGAGACAGGACATGCCACTAGAACCACACAATCCAATGGTAAATGAATGAGCGAGGGCAGAAAGGGATTTTGGCTGGAAAATGTTCAAGGGATTTTGGCAGAAGGCTTGGCATGTTTCCAAACTTTTAGTGCAAACTCTGCACAAATGGCATAACAGCTATTTTTTTCCACCTAAAGTGAATCCTTGGACAAAAAATAGCAATCACATAATAGCAATTCGCATAAAGCAAGGGAAACCTGTATTTGGAACTGCCCCATGCTGGTGCCCCATTTTCTGGATGAATTGTAGAAGACATTAAATAATACTGGTTATAATTAATTGAATATCTTTTCTTACATGAGTTGTCTCTTAGAACAGTTTGGCTTTCTCTTTTGTATTCATTTTTTCCCCTGAGGATAAGTTGCTACTTTCAGATGCTGCGAGTCCTCTTCTCCACCAAACCTGCCGAAGAAGGCATGTATGCCATTCCTCAGGTGTTCTAGGGCAGCTAGGATCCTTCCAGATCAATGTGACCAAAATCATGCATGTGGAAGGCAATCAAAAGAGGAAAAACAATCCTACTCTGAGACTTTAGTGAAAAAAATACAATCTTTGCCATATTTAAGCAAATCAACCTTCAGCATATGTGAATTTCCTGGATTTATAGAGCATGCTGAACCATAATTGTGTTTATTTATTGAATCTTGTTATTGTATGTTTTATTATGTTAGCCACCCATGTGAAATGGGTGGCTATATAAATTTAGTAAATAAATAAATGTAAACTAATCATATGTGTTGAGATTCGCACAATGTGCTCAACATATTTTCAGTAGAGATGTGCAAAATAGAGTTGGGCTGCATCTGGAACACCATGCACCACTTCCTGTTCTGGATGATACATTTACATAAAGGCACAAGCCATTACTGGAATTCTTCATCTGGTTCATTCACGGTAAAACCAGAATGCTCCTGAGTTGAAATGCTCTTTTTTGCATATAACTAATGTTTAATAAAATTGGATTGAGGAAAGCATGGAAAAAACAGCCAAAAAAGGTTATATGATTAGGTGGCTGAAGTGCCCCTAAAAGAAGTTGAAGTGGGGAAGGAAAGGATTAACCTGTTTCAATGAAATTGAACTGTTTGTTGTTATTTCTTTAAAATGCCTTGGAAAGGGCAGAAAATAGCATGGAATCAGATAATACAATGAAGCTCTCTTATATTTACTTGAAATAAAACTCCAGATATTCAAATTGGATTTATTTTCAAGAAGTTATGGAAAGGAATATGGCCTACTCATTTACAGTGGGGCAAAAAAATATTTAGTCAGCCACCAATTGTGCAAGTTCTCCCACTTA